ATCGCTGCCGGAGCTAGTAGGGGCTATTGGCCTTACTACTAGGAACAAGAAGCTACTGGGCCCTGTCATCGCTGCTAGGAGCAAGGACGCTACTAGGGGCTCCTGGCCTTACTACTAGGAAGAAGGAGCAAGGACGCGGGGCTCCTGGCCTCACGCTACTACAGGGGCTCCTACTAGGAGCAAGGACGCTACTAGGGGCTCCTGGCCTAGGCATCGCTACTAGGAGCAAGGACGCTACTAGGGGCTCCCGTCCTTACTACTAGGAACAAGAAGCTACTAGGGGCCCCTGGGATGGGCTCCTGGCCTTACTATTCAAAACGAGAAGCTACGGTAGTAGGGGCTCCTGCAAGGACGCTACTAGAAGCTCCTGGCCTTACTACTAGGAACAAGAAGATACTAGGAGGAACGAGAAGCTACCAGGGGCGCCTGGCATCGCTACTAGGAGCACGGACGCTACTAGAGGCTCCTGGCCTTACTACTAGGAACAAGAAGCTACTAGGGGGTCCTGGCATCACTACTGGAGCAAGGACGCTACTAGGGGCTCCTGGCCTTACTACTAGGAACAAGAAGCTACGGTAGTACGGGCTCCTGGCCAACAAGAAGCTACTGGGCCCTGGCATCGCTACTAGGAGCAAGGACGCTACTAGGGGCTCCTGGCCTTAATTTTAGGAGGACGCAGGGCTCCTGGCCTCACGCTACTAGGGGCTCCTGTCATCGCTACTAGGAGCATATACTAGGAGCAAGAACGCTACTAGGGGCTCCTGGCCTACAAGAAGCTAGTAGGGGCTCCTGGCATCCCTATTAGGAGCAAGTATGCTACAAGGGGCTCCTGGCCTATGTTCTAGGAACAAGAAGCTACCAGGGGTCCTGGCATCGCTACTAGGAGCAGGGGCTACTAGGAACAAGAAGCTACTAGAGCTCCTGGGAACAAGAAGGGGCTCCTGCTACTAGGAGCACGGACGCTACTAGGGGCTCCTGGCCTTACTACTAGGAACAAGAAGCTGCTAGTGGCTCCTGGCATCGCTACTAGGAGCGAGGACGCTACTCGGGGCTCTTGGCCTTACTACTAGGAACAAGAAGCTACTAGGGGCCTGGCATCGCTACTAGGAGCAAGGACGCTACTAGGGGCTCCTGGCC